GAAAGTGCCAGTGATCCGCCAGAGTGACCAATTGTCTTGTTTGATGCTGCGGTTTTTGGACAAACGTGCCGTTTGGGTCTGCCAACACTCACGTGTCTGGGCAGGGCGACAGCATGGCTTCTCCGGTTGTGTCAAGTGCGGCCTCCGGCCTTGAATCTCTGGTGGTGGGAAAATGAGGATACATCGCTTTGCTGCATGCCTTCGTGAGGAGTGAGTGTTTCTCGATGTTTTTGTCATTTTCCCTGCTGGGTCGCGAATGGGCTATGTGGCTTTATCGCAGATCGAGCCGATAGCGGAGTGGAGGGGTTGTTGTTCCGACGACAATCCCTGTTGTTGTTCTCACCGCCCCTTCCTCCAAAAACAATCACCCCCTCTTTGTTGTTGTTGTTGTACCCTCCAAACAACAACAATCTCCCTTTCCCCCTGTTGTTCTCGTTCCCCCTCCTCCGAAACAGCGACAACACCCAGCCCTCCCTGTTGTTTTTTTATTCCCCCTCCTCGCCTCCTGTAAGCGCACAAGGGTAGAGTCCCCAGGTGGCCGTGTAATTACTTTACAACGGCATTCAGCTGGGAATGAAGAACCCTGCAACGCCTTGGGAAAACCCACAAGTCCTAAATCCAGTTTTGCAGGTCCATAGCATTGACCAAACCAACCTTGTACTTCTGGAACAGTGAGATCTTCACTGCACAGGAAGTACGCCAACAATGGGCAGCTCACACGCAGCCTACAGCCGTATATAGGCTGCTTCGAGACGTTCGCACAGCTAGCCTTAGCCCAAGCCTTGCGCAGCAAGCATGTGCGCTCTGTTTTGCCCTCCGCCAGCGACAATACAAGCGCAGAAAGTGGGCTCAATAAGCTCTTCCGCACCGCATTTGCGGATCTTTCCGCCTTGCAGCGGCCTGGGCTCACCCGTGCAGCTTCAACTTGAGCACCTCGCAGGGGAGAAAAACGTCTGGGCAGACAAGCTCAGCCGCGGCAGAATTGCCTTTATGGAGCGCCGCGCCTCCGACTCCGACAGAGTGCACATCACTCTTGCACAGTCAGCTTCAGCATCGCGCAGTGTTACATTGCACGGCGGCAATGTTCAGTGGCCCGACAAACTGCTGCGGGCACAGACGGAAAGGCTCCGCTAAGCCTGAAAAGAGCCCTGCATGCAACGCTTGCATTCTCTCGTTGCTTCACGCTTGAATGCTGCTTTCTGCCAGGTACACCTCAACCTCGCGGGGTGGGGTCTACTAGTCAGAGGTTGTTGTGTCCGCTAAAGTGGGGGGAAACCGCTCTGGCACGCTCTGCCTTTTTGTTTCTTCTCGAGCGCGCGTCGCTCCGCACTGGCACAGCATCTCTCGTGGAAAAACAAGAATTTCGCCGTGCATTCTGTTTTAAGGTTTAGCGGTTGCAGGATCCTGAAAATCTACAGAACGCTCGCTGCGCGTTTGTCTTTTTAGTTAGCAGTGCTTTCGTTGGTTTGTCACTAACGCATCGCAATGCTTTGCTGCGCGATCTTGTGGCCCAAACCAAGAAAACACATGCAGACTAGGCAGCAGCCTTCAGACAAGTTTTTGCACCCACCTTCCACACCCGTTGGGGGCAAGCCGCCCTGGCACGCTCTGCCTTTTGTTTGTTCTCGAGCGCGCATCGCTCCGCACTGACACAGCAACTCTCGTGGAGAAAGGAATCTCGCCGTGCCATCCCTTTTGAGGTTCAGCGGTTGCAGGATCGTGAAAACCTAGAGAACCGTTACTGGTGCTGACATGAATGCACTGGAGTAGCCAGCTCCTTCAAACTGTTTGTTTTGTTGCCCACGCTTCCTCCTACACAGCAGTGCCATGACACTTTGATGTGGGTCGTTACAATTTTGCCTCGTAGCTAACTTAACCCGCAATTGTATAGTATGTTTTTGTATCACTGCATGATACGCATGCGCCGTGCGCATCGTTAGGGGGTTGTGGCGGGGCTTCAGTGACCACCCATCAACCTTGAAGGTAGATTGTTACCTCCGTGTTGTAGCCTTGTCTCAAAGTGCACGTGAGACAACCCAGGAAAAGAAGTCTTCGCTTTTCCCGATATGCCAACGGCATTTCGCTGTTGAAACCTTTGAAACTTCCAGCTCAACTGCTAGCAGGCACAACATGTTTACAGTATCGAAGTGCACGCATTTTATGCATCGCACATGCTACGTGGCATTTGCGTCTCGTTCGAGATGGGGGCTAAATTTTAATTCTGCTTTACTAACCTCGTCGGACCATTCCGGGCCGACAAGGAGGGGTTTCCGTTCTTTGAGCCAGTAGCACAGGAAACAAAGAAAACGGAACCAAAAAGTTCTGATCACATGCATGCATGAGATCGAGACGAGTCGGTTTTCACGTCTTGTCAAACATCAAGCATCGTAAATTATTCCATAGACCATTGCCCTTCTAAAAGAGAACATCCCGGTTCGAAGTTGCCATCACCGGAGGCGACGTCATGGCAGGAGGGAATGGGTGCAGCGACGTGGTGAAAGCGGCCAGCGCAAGTCCCAAGCAACCTTAATAACATGACAGGTTTGGCAGTCCATTCGGGTGAGTCTACGCCTGCGTCAGTGAAGGAGGTGGACTGATGAAAATTGGGGCTTGAACCGCAAAAACCAGGACAGAACACTACAAATTTCAACTCCAAAATAGCTTGCCGGAAACTGCAAACCGCTTGAATTCAGCCAAATTCAAAGTTGCCCGGCAGCTTCACGAGCTTGCAAGTTTGCCAGAATCGAGATTGGACAAACTGCAGCGCAACAATTTGCAATCGGATAGCCTTCCGGAAAAGGAGATTTGACAAAATGCAATTCCCCGGTAGTTGGATCCACAGAATATAATCAAGATCAACGTTTGAAACAACTTCCACAAAAAAACTCCCAAATCAGTCACGAGTCATGGCCCATTGTTCCTGCAATCTCCTCCTCGTCATTTGTTGTATTTGGTCATATTCTAAAGCTTGCACATGGTCGATTCCACCAGTTTGAAATCTTGAATTTGTTTCGTCTCCAAGATTGTGAGTTGTCGTGCAAACGAATTTCGGCAGCCTCGTTAGTTTTTTGGTCACGCATCATGTGCCACGTCTCAGATTTGGAGGTGATGTCCCGTCAGCAAACTTTAAGTGGTACTGGGTTCGCCGCCCAAACATTAAGCCCATGTTCTGGACCCCCAACATCTGTGTGGTTTACATTGAAATTTGCACGTGACCATTGGCTCGATCTTGAGTTCCTTCCAAATCATGGTAGAAAGGCTAACAGCTGCTAGCAGTCGTGTTGCATGTCTTGCTGCGATGAGGCGGAGGCCTGCCCACGCATGTGCATTGGTGATGTCAAGCGTGTCGAGCACCCTGTGACGTTTGAGTGGAAACTCAGAAACGTCGACATGTTGACAAGGTCGAGAAGAGCCAAGAGACTATTGCGCTAGTCAAGGCACCGAGATTGCTTTGACTTTGTGACGCCGTGTGTTTGTGTTTGCGTCCTTTCATGATACCCGGGCTATCTGAAATTATGTTCTGCACATTTGTTCGTTTTGATCGGGAAGTGAGATGTTTCGGTTTTTCCAATCTTGCGAGCTGTTGGAACACGCTCATACTGTTCAGTTGTGTTCGCAGTTCCGGGTTTGTCGGTTCGTGGTTTTCCCCCAAGTGCAGCACTGAGCTGACGAGTTTTGAGATTGTGGCCTTCGAGGTGAATGCGCATATTCACATTAAAACGTTTCCTCCACAATTTCGACACCGTAATTTCGACATGGTGTGGCGCTTGTCCATTCCTGCATTAGTTTTGGAAACTTCCACATAGAAGCAGGCAGTCAATATATGGGTATATGTATCGTAACAGACGCAACCGATCTGCAATCAGCCAGTAGCTGACAAGGAGTTAAAGTTGGCGACAAACAGATAGATGGAGCCTGTCCAAAAAGGCAAGTATATTTTTTTTGAAGTCCATACACATACGCATATATTAATATGCAAGTGTGTATGTACAACTCATACATCACATGTTTGTATGCACATAGGTGTAGACACATGCATGTACATCTAAACACATACGCACTTCTGGGTGCAGAATGCATGGATGCTGTGTCTTGCTCTGCGATGTTGTGCTTCACTTCTCCTCCTGTGCGATACTCTGTTTCGCTGCGCTGCGTTGTGCTTTGCCATTTCACTCCATGCCGCACCATTTCGCACGGTGCTGGCCTGTGTAATTCCGTGCTGTGATGCCGTGCTGTGGTTGCTATGCGTGTGCTATCATTTACATATACATATGCCTGCCTCTATAGGTGCCCCTCTCTCGCTAACTTCGCTTACAAAATTATATAAGTATACAGGGCGCGCGAGCTTGGTAAATGTAGCAAACATAAATATATATATATATACATATATATATATATATTTACACACACACACTTCTGTGGTGATACATTTATTTGTTTATCATTTCTGGTTCTCTCTATTCGTTGAGTTTCGCTTACATGCCTGACATACATGTGTGCATGCATGGATGCATAACCAAATAGAAAACTATAAAACACGAAGATGAACATGAATATCAGTACGAGCATGAGCATAAGCATGAGCATAAGCATGAGCATAAGCATGAGCATGAGTATGAGTATGAAAATGAGTACGAATATGACTCTGATCATGAATATAACAATGAATGTGAGTATATTTCAATATCGATACCTGTACAAAAGTAGATGCACATCTGTCTTTATATACGTATATATATATATATGTACATTTATATATATATATATATGTATATCTATACACATACATGCATCCATACATGCATGGACAAAGAGGAGTGCATCCAGTTATTTCTGTTAACATGTTATGAGATTGTATGAGATTGTGTTTCCACAGGCAACAGAATCGCACACTATCGTCGACCACGAGGCCATTCCATTTTTAAGCTTCAGGCCTTAGTTGAAGGGGAGGGTTTTGGATTGGACTGCCTGTGCAGAACGGACGTCAGGATGACGCCTCCATGGTCCGAGTTCCTTCTGATGCTGTCGCGAGCGTCACATCCAGCGTAAGAGAGGCGTGGGCACCGGGCTGTGGTGATTTTTGGGTTGCGCCAGCCTGTGTGCTTCAACACTACACGGGGCCCCTTGCACGCGGCGGCACCGCTTAACGTTTTGACGGTGCAGGCTGAACTGCTGGCCAGGCCGGGGTCCCTTTTTCATGGCATGACCTTGCGAGTTCTTCGGCTGTTGAAGTTGATGCAGACTGGGTCTCCAACATGTTGGTTCCAGGCTCTCTGCAAAGGCTGTCGACGCACACTGGCGCGTGAGCCGCAAGGAGCTTGTCATGAAACGAGAGTGGCAGCCTCAAGCGTATCTGCGCCTCATAGCCTTCCAAACAATACACACACCGAATTGCGATCCCAAGGCTTAGCAAAACTCTGAAAAGCACTCTATTTCTGGCGGAGTGGCGAGGTACAGAGGCATTTGGGCAAGTTTCGGCAATGTGCTGCATGTCATCCTTCGCATGCAATGCCAGCTTGCTGTGTCTTCGCATGGACACAGGTAGTCGTGAAATGCGTGTGGCTCTCAGTTGATGTAGGCGATGAAGGCAGAACTGATGTGGCAGCTATTTCCTTCTAACTGCGATTATCGTCATCAACATCTTCGTCATCCGCACATCATCAAGCTCGTCGGTTGGACCAACCTCAATTGGTGCAGCTTGTGATACTCGCTTTTAGAAAGAAGGCGTCTATCATCACTAACTGTTGATACTGTTATCATCAACAACTACAGTAAGTTGGCATCTTCTTGATCTGATCAGCCACTTGGTGGCAGCTGACATGTGGGATTTGGATAGCGATAGCCAAACTTTCCGGTCTGTGCAAATGTGCAAGATCGGGTTTCGTTGCCCGTGCAATCTTTCGGGCTGTCTCACGTCATGAGTCATGATGTACGACTTACGATACGCTTCAGGCTGAGACCCACTTCACGACCAGAGCCATGTCTTCTGCCAGGCACGAGCCACAAGACGGTCTCTGCTCGGGGTCAGGGTTGACAAACTGCATTACATGGTGCACGCCGTTTTCTGTTGACTTTTTTCAAGTTTCTTCTTAGGAGCATCGATGTGGAATGATACGCTTCTGGTTGGGCACGTGCGTACGAAGGATGGCAGCGGATGGCACAGGCGTTTCTCATGCGTCCATGCTTGCGTTGAGTTTTTCGGACATACTTGCACGGTGACGCACCTGATGTTTCATGGGTATATGATGGGACCTTCGCATACGTGCTCGGGACGTGCCGAGGAAGCTACATGCCTCCGGGAAGTCAAGCCGGGTGTGCATGCGGTCAGTAGTCGATATGGGTTTCTGTACACTGCCGCGACTTTCGACATCAGAACTTGTCCTGGCAATGTCCATTGAAGTTCAGTGTTGCCCGTGGGAAGTTATGCTCGGGAGGCTAAGACAGTGACAAGAGTCGTGTCGTCAACACGACGTACCAGGAATCATGATAACAATTAAGCGGCTTGTACGCAGCTGCTGTGGCTGCTTATGCTCGCAACTGACGGTGAAGCTGGACTTTGCGATGTCATGATTGTCTACAGCCCAGTTCTACACCTTCTGACTTGTCCTACATCGCCAGCTGCTCTGATCAGTGTTACTTGAGGCCACATGCGCACATCTGGGCATGTGCTGTTCCTAGGATTCTGCTATCTTTCGGTGATTGCTCTTTCAGGGCAAAGCGGGGTGGGGGGTTGGTTGGTTACGACCATGTTACACAAACAAACCCCAAACCCTGCTATTTACGGCGTTTTTGCCTGTTTACACAAGTGCAGGAGGATGTTTGATGTTCAGCAACACGAGGCACAGCCACAAGTGTTCTTGACGTTTGCGAACCTGCCCAAAACCCTGCTATTTGCCGGATAATACAACATGTTGCAGGAGTATGTTTGATTTTCAGCAACACGAGGCCGTGTCGCAAGTGTTCATGCCATTTTGCAAGCAAGCCCAAAACCCTTCTATTTACAGCGATTTTTTCTCTTTGTACAACGTGCGTCTCATTGAATACAAGTACAGGTGGGTCTGGCGCTTGCAGTTGGATCCCAAAGCGGATGTCGCGGATCACTTGGAACGTGTGCTAAAATGAGTGCCCTAAGTCTGAGTCCCTGGATTTCCTGAAGCACGAATCTCTCCCTTTCCCCAGCCACACGCACGAAGTCATGTAATTTACAGCACTTGCCGTGTATGCCCTAAAACATACATGCGGCCAGATATCAATGTGTGACCAGTCTCTGCTTCTTGCTGCTTCACACTTGCTATGCACCGCTGGTAATCTCCGTGCATGCTCAAACCTTCTGCTGAGCAACCAGAATGTTTTTTTACAACGTTTTTTGTTGTTCCACGTTCCTCGGTTTCGCTGTACAATCAGTCACCAGTGCAATGCACGCTGTTTCCTCGTGCGTGATCCGCGACTCGAGTGCTGGAGCGCAGCGAGGGGCCGCGGACCACGTTTCGGGAATCCGGCGAGAGAACCATCCAACATGCCGATCGTGTGTCACTCGGGCGCACAGCAAATGCCAAGCCTTTGTTGTCGAAGGCTTCGAAATTGCTGATAGCTGGATGAAGAAGTTGGGTTTGCAAGTTTCGGTCGGCATGCCGGCATGATATCTCTGCCGTGAGGATCACTTCGAAAGGGGTGTCCTCCGCGTTTTCGAGCCTCGGCTGCCAGATGGATGTGTTCGTCCCAACCAAAGGGCCGAGCAAGTAAATTTGAAGTGTCAGATTGCATGGGCGGTCCATGCATCTTGTTGTGTGCTGGGTTGGGGTTCGTTGACTGTTGTAGGAATCACACAACAACAGAAGCATGAAGGCAATCCGCGTGATGTCTAGCACGGTACACTCCGCTGGGGAACGTCGAAGGCTGAAGAAGGCTGCGCTCGATCAGGCTCGAAACGATGCACATGCTGTGACTGATGGTGACTAACGGCTAGGTGAATGAGGTATTAATCAAGCACTCGCGTGCCTTGGACAGGCTGCGACGCAGTCGACCGGACTAGCTGCTGAAGATCATCATGCCGTCGACTTACGTTTGAGATGCAGCATTGGTGATGCTGTTGAATCTGCCGGTTCAGCTGAGCCAGCGCATGGCTCCAATAGCACTTCCCACAACCAAGCTACAATGGCTGAAAAGCTTATCGGCGCATCAGCAGAAGAAGCACAACAGGACAAACAATCAATTGCAGAGCCCATTTAGATGAGGCCATGATCGAAGAGCTGCTGCACGAAATTGACATGATGTGGGCGTCTCAGGGACAGACGGGCAAAAGCTGAAAACGCTGAGCAGGATGAGAGCTTTGCGAGATGAAGCCTGGCCCCGAAACTCCTCGTCCTTCAGGTCGAAAGAACGACATCCTGATATGGTCATGCACCGTGGAAGCACTTTCAGCTTTGTAAATGTTCCTTCAGCCCTCAACATCCTGATGAGGTTTCTTGGAGCATGCCTGGATCAGGAGCCCGCGCAAAGCCGCCGCAGTCGGGTGATGTTGCAAGAAGTAGTCTCTGTTTGCTGCTGCTAGAAGATATTAGGAAGTGTTCACTTTCGAGATGTTCAGGACGCACCGATTATGTGCATCACCGAATACATGCCCGGGGGTGACCTCGAGCGCTACTACATGGTGTCCTTGCTGCACTCAACCTGCCACCCATCACTGTGCTTCGCTAAATATTTCAACGTCAAGCATTGCGCTTGAATAAACATCGGTGACAGCCTGCGAACGATCTGTACCGCTTAAAGCGGCTTCTTTGATATGTTGTTATGTGTGTTATGTCATGAAAGTAGTGTTGCTTAGATGGTACTAGAGTATTATCAACTGGTAACTCCGTCCATCTTGTTTTTGTCCTTCGTGTCCATGTTTCCGATCGCCTTGAAGTTAGTGGCGCATGCAAACTCGCAGCACATCTTAATTTCCCGGGCCATACAAGAGAGAAGCAGAGTAAGGTGCCCAAAGCGCTCGCAGCAGTCATTCGCACGACATCGAGCGTTTATGCACCATCACTTGAAGCACAGTGTATTCTCAAGAGATCTTGGGCAGATGTGGCACCTAGCCAGCTATTGCTGTGGAACCAGCCGGTGCTTTGTCAGCCTGGCGTGTCGTTCAGCACGGCCAGCAAATCTGAGACCTCAACGTTTGAGTTGCACAGCAGTGTGCCAGAATCATCGCATGCGCGCCGCAGCATCTCACCAACACGTAAGATGAGCGGCACGCATGTGCCATGTCTGACGAGCGCCGTTGAGATTCGATAATTTAGTTCCATCGCGGCATGTGCATTTCTTTAAAGCTTTTCGCAAGCTGCCTCCCTGCTTGTTTTGCAGTAAGGGAGCTTGCTCCAAAGCAATCCCAAGGGAGGGCTCTCATCATAGAATTGTCAAAATGGTGGAGGCTCCCAAGTCAAGTTGGGCAGCACCGCCAAATCAGCCTCCGGCGCGATTTCAGTCGACTATGTGCACCAAGCTGCAGACTGTGTAACCGCCGTGCCCACATAGACTAATCTGATCCTTCTGAACGCAAGATCCAGACAATGTTGCCACACCGTCTGGGAATTTCACAATGCCCACGCCAAATCAAGGCCGTTCGTCCAGACCTTAAGGAAACAGTGAGGATCGTTGGAGGATGCTCCTCAGAGCAAAGAACTGCTCATGTTGCCAGAATGCAAGGACAAGCCTGGATACAGGACATGCTAACATCGAGCAGCAAGGATATGTTCGTGCCTCCGGCAGTAAACGCTTTCAGCCGAGACTCAGAAACCGAGTCCAGTCTAGAGCTGGGAAAGCAGGGACATCCAGCCCGAGTCTGGACGCCAAATGCCCGAATTTTGGTCACGTTGCAACTCCAGGCCATGGTTTGCATCTCCGCTGTGGCGGGGCTTTCTAGTATCACAGCGGTAATGGCAGTAGGACCTCCGCAAGCTTTGGCGGGATATTCAGCGTTTGTGTGGAGACTGCGTGTGTGCATGGACTGTGGCATGACCTGTTTGCGTACATGCTCTGGGGTGCAGGTAGGCCTGTACCTTCTTCGCTATGCCGGATCACAGGTGAAGCACCAGCACCGTTGGTTTTATGCAGTCTTGGTGGTGCCTGCTTGATTACACCAAGATTCATTCAGGGCATTAAGCCTTAGCCTGGCCATCCAAGGCCCGAAACCTCAGACCTACAGACCCACTGCGTTTGTCGAAGGCTTTAGGCTTCCATTCACGGTTCCGGGCTCTGCGGCCCAAGCCCGTACACCTACGGCAGCCGAAAGAAATTCTCAGACTGCAGCAGGAGCCTTGTCCGAGTAATCACTCACATACACGCACACTACACCAAGAGGAGGGCAATCTCCCTCGTTCCAATCGCAGAAAATGCTGATGCTCGTAATGACTTTGAAGCAATGCCCATCGAGCCAAGAGAAAGGATGTGTGTTCACTGAAGCAAGTGCAACGAGATCTTCATCCCCCTGAGCTTAGACATCCTCGCACGGCGAGCAAAAGTCTACAAATTTGCAAGACTAGGAAAACGCTCACACCGAACCAGAGGCAGGGAAGCGTTGCCAACGACCCAGTAACAATGAGAGACCAAAATCAACGAAATGCTCGCAGAGAGCCAAGAGGATGAGAAGATGCTGACCAAACAAAACCTCCATTGGGTTTGCCTTGATAAGGGGGGTCACAGAGATTGCCGCGAGTTTGGTGCTCTCTGGAGTGTTAATTCAATGTAAGAAAAAGCTCCGGATGCACTGTCGCCACCACTTTACTTGCTTGCTGCTGGTCACGATGCTTCAGGCAAAGCGTCGAGAAAAGATGACAGATGTCTGGTGTCCACCTTTGTGGCGGATCGTGGAGTGGTGCTCTGCGGCTTGGGCCGATCAAACGAGACTAGAAAGCGACCTCTTCGGCTCTAGCATATTTGAGGTGATTTCAGTTACTTCGATGGGGTCTGCTAAGTTATTCGTATTGATAGGTGTGCGTCTTAGGAGGCCTGCGCAGTGTTCGGATCGAGCCGAGGCTGTGGCAAGAGCGCTGGCATTTCTTCACCATCGCCACCCGCTTTTGCATTTATCACCGCTTTTGCATCCTTTCGGTTCATCAGCAACATCTCACCTTCCGCCAGAGGCGACGAGCCGCTGATTCACAGGGACCTGAAGCCCCTTAACCTGCTATTGCTCCTTGGATACAAGTTGGACCGAAAACGCGCAGAGTTTGGCCTTTCTATGCGTTTCTGTACATAAAGCGCGGTGCAGTGCGGCAGTGCGCAGTATACATTGTGGAGCCAAATGTTTTTGAGGAACAAGCACTTGGAGGTCAAAGTGGCTGACATGGGCATCTCCAAAGTCATGCCGCTGGTTGCATCCCATCGATCCAGTGTGTAGTTTCTGCTCGTACTTCTCGAGCCTTGGACAGCTTCCGCCTAGGGCGGCAACCAACAACAGCGCCGCCAGTTACACCATGACTGGTGGTGTTGGCAGCTGGCTCTACATGGCCCCAGAGGTGGTCAGGCGGAGACGGGTACGATCCGTTTGTTACATGGTTAGAGTTGTGACTGGGTCGTGTTTACATACGTAGCACTTTCTTCTGTTCATTCGCAGTTTGTGATGATCACGATGTCAGCCCTTGAATGCCTCTTCTCGTGGTGGCTTCCCCATTCCTTGCCATACTTGTCCTCTCCTTGTTCTGCTTCTGACGGAGGGGAGCAGGTGCGGGCTGGCCACTAGCATGCTAGCGCCGCATCACAAGACCCCAGCTGTGCAGATGCTGCATCGACACCCATTGTGCCTGGCCTTGGCGGCGCTGTTGCACGAACACCCATTAAAACTGTCTTGTGCAGGCATGAGCAGTACAATGCTCCTTGGAGAAATGGTTGAAGTCAGGTTTACAAGCATGTGGAATCTTGCATAAGGAAAAAGTCGACATCTATGCATTCGCTTTGATCATGCCGGGAGCTCAGCCGATGTAAGCTAAAGAGAGCCAGCCTGAACCAGTGATGCTGGATGCAGGTATTTTATGAGTTCTGGGCGAGCTCCTTTCTACCAGCTGGGAAGAGATCCTGAACTTGCCCCTCGCTCGCACAGAAAGTTTGGTAGGTCAGTGCCCGTTTCTCAGAGGAGTAGATTCCATGATTGTGCCCAATTTTTTGCCGCCTTCGGCTGGCATTGGACATGCTCGGCTGACACTGAAGAGAATCGAGGTGCTGAAAGAATACCTGCGAGGGCATGAGCCCAGGCTTGTGTTGTCAACTTCTACAGTAGTGCACAGCGCACGCATGATATGCTTCAGTGGAGGTTTAAGAAGAGCTGAGCACAACCCACAGCTCGGATTTACTGGGAGATGTGCACCAGTTCACAAACCAGTCGTGTTTCGTGCCACCTGAAGCATCTGTTTCATGTAGCCTTCAGATTTCATTTTTGGAGGCCGGTTGTTGCTGACTGCCACATCCAGCTGCGACCCATCATGGCCTCCGCTTGGGATGCAAGGGCCTCGTTCGATTCACAAAGTGTTGTTGCGGCTCATTTTTGTAGAGCGCGCGAGATTTTAAGGTGGAGGAAAGGCTCCGGCCCACTGCTGCACAGCTGGTCCAGGAGTTGAGCGAGGCATCGCTGTGTCTTACGTGTAGGGGAACGCCTGCAGATCAAGTCATGTCATTGCGTGACGTTGGCAGGTTCCGGTGACAAAGCGATCCTGCCTATGCTCCCAGATGTGACTGCATCGGCAGCCACAGGTTTCGTTGCAGGCCGCTCATTCCCAGATTCGAGAACGTCCAGAATTCTGCTTATCGTTCGCAGGCGAATCACTCGCAATGTTAATGGTGGAGCCGGTCGATGCTGAATCCTGGGCTTCACTGGACAATTTTCTTCGCACGCTTAGCTATCTTAGTACTTCCACTGTCCATTCACCCATGATCGTTTGAACGGCCACTCGCACCTCCAGGCTGTGGGATAGTTGCAACATAGGATTTCCTTGTGCACTGGCTGCTTTAGCTTTCCTAATTGGGACAACGTGCTCGACTTAGATGAGCTTTCGTCATGAATTTGACGTGTGCGGTCTTGGCAGTCAGCAACGACAGCAGCCGGAGATGTGGATGACCCTTTTAATCACTGTAGTTTCTGATGACGATCTTTTCCAGCTGGACCGTGCACACGGCCACAGCTTTGTTGGAGACGGTGAGAGGGTACCGAAGCGTGTGGAAAAGCTTGTGAGTCGTCACTTTTGTTGACTGAGAGTGTTTGACCTCTTGCATCTCGATGTCCGACCGCGACAGCCGAAGGCTTGCGGACGACTATTACCAACGATTTGCAATCGTGCTGCAGATGAAAAGATTGGCAATGTCCAAATACGTTTATATGTTAGGAAATTGAAGTACTGGCAATATCTGTCCGATCGATCTGAAAATTTCAGAGAAGGGTCGGTAGCGCAGATTTTGAAAGCTAGATTTCGTTCTAAAGAAAAGTTGTAGAAATAATATATATATATATATATGAGCGAGGCGCCTTTAGGGTTTATTTAACGCCCTATTTTTTTTCTTATATGACTAATAATAATATAAATAATTGAAATAATTGAAATATTTGAAATTATTTCAATTATTTCAATTTAGAAGGTCACTTTGAGAATTGAAATAATTGAAATCGGTAGGTTTTCTGGCTGAGCCACGAATCTTACCGATTTGAATTATTTAAATTATTTGGGCCACTTTGTGAATTAATTGAAAAATTTAAATTCCGAAATTCGATGGGTTCGGTCTATCGAATTTAAGGCCACTTTGAGAATTGAAATAATTGAAATTGATGGATTGTTTGGCTGAGCTACGAATCCCACCGACTTGAATTTGAAACCCGGCCGATTTTAATTCTTTCAATTCTTTAAATTATTTGGTCCATTTTATGAATTGAAATAATTGAAATCGGCCTCATTTTAATTATTTCAATTATTTGGGCCACCCCGAGAATCGAAATAATTGAAATCGGACCCATATTAATTATTTCAATTATTTCAATTATTTAAATAATTGAAATCGATGGAATTAAAAGGGGAAGGGGGGGGGGTATTGGGGGTTTGGGGCCCTTCCCTCCACTCCCTCCACCCCAGCCCACCAAAAGCTGCCCACCACCCCACCCACCCCACCATATACCACCCAACCCATCCCGTAATTGTTATCATCTTCGTCATATTTTTATCATCTTTATCATTTTTCTAGTACCTTTATCATTATTTTTATCATATGTATTATCAATTTTATCGTATTTATCATATTTTATTATATTTATCATCTTGTTCATTATCTTTAGAATCCTACGTATTTGGATTTATCATTCTTACTATTGATAGACCCCTCAATAAGTGAGGTCGGTCTATTATGAATAATTGCGACCTAGACTCTATAGACCTAGATACCCCCCCCAATAAGCGATGTCGGTCCATTATTGTGATAGATACGAATATACTTTCATATCCCTCCAATAAGTGAAGTCGGTCTATCATGAATAATAGCGGCCTAAATTCTAGAGTCCTAGATAACCTCCCAATAAGCGATATCGGTCCATCATTATGATAGATACGAATATATTTTGATAATCTCCCCAATAAGCGACATCGGACTATCATGAATAATAGAGGTCTAAATTCTATAGCCCTAGATATTTTCCTAATAAGCGATATCGGTCCGTCATTGTGATAGATACAAATATACTTTGACAAGCCCCACAATAAGCTAATCCGGTCTATCATTATGATAGATACGAACATACCTTGATATGTTCCAATTAGCGAGATCGGTCTATCATTATGATATATACGAATTTACATTGACAACCGCCCCAATAAATGACGTCGGTCTATCATGAATAATAACGTCCTAAACCCTAGAGCCCTAGAGAAAACCTCTAATAAGCGATGTCATTTGTGATGGAGACCGACGTTGCTTATTGGGAGATTATCAACTTATATCTATATCTATCACGATGATAGACCGACTTCGCTTATTGGAGGTTGTTACAAGTATATTCGTGTCTATCACAATCACGTACCGATTTCGCTTATTGGGAAATTTGTAAGGTATTTTAGTATATGTTACAACAACTTCTCTTATTGGAAATTTATTCAAGCATATTCGTATCTATCATAATGAACGTCGCTTACTGGGGGCTATCAAGGTATATTCGTATCTAACAATGCTAGGTCGACTTCGCGTACGGGAAGGGGGGGGGAGGTTATCGACATATACTCGTATCTATCATAATAATAGACCGAAATCGCTTATTGGCGGGTTTTTCTAGGGCTCTAGAGTTTAGGCCCCTGTTGTTAACGCTAGACCGACGTCGCTTGTTGGGAGGTTATCAAAGTATGCTCATATCTATCATAATGATAGACCGACTGCGCCTATTGGGAGATTAACAAGGTACGTTCATATCTATCACAATGATAGACCGATTTCGCTTGTTGGAGAGATATCAGAGTATATTCAAGATCATGATAGATACGAAAATATCTTATATTCTTCCCCCAATAAACGACGTGGGTCTATTATTGTGATAGATATGAATATGTATTGAGGCCTAAACCCTGGAGCCTTAAACCTTAGAGTCCTAAACCCTACAGCCCTAAATTCTAGAGTCCTAAATCATAGAGCCTTAAACCCTAGAGCCCTAAACTATAAAATCCTAAATCATATAGATCTCTGTCATCCTTTATATCGTCTTTATCATCTTTTTTTTCTAATCTTTGTAATCTTTTTCATCTTTGTCATCTCGATCATCTGTTTTGTCATCTCTATCATCCACGCTTGTTTTTTCCAAATATTATTCTCCTTGAATATGAATAATTTTCTCTTATTTTTTTAAAAAATATATCGCGGTCGGTCTGAAACTTTTCGGGTTATGGCTTTGAGATGCGAGATGTATTTCGATATATTTAATTTTCTATTATGTGCTAAAGATAGAAAACCGTGGTTATATAGACCCTAAAGGTATCGGGCACATATATATATATATATTTTTTTTTAAATATATAATATGAAATAATATACTTGTCTATTTGATTTGAAATCTTTTTCAAGAGATTGGATTATTTTGGAGAATAAAATATATCAAAATTATTATTTCTGATTATCGAATAATCTTTTTTTATATTTATTATAAATAAATTTGGATTATAAGATTTAAGAATAGATTCATAAATTGATAAGATGAATCTTAGATTTATATATATTTCTGGAACGAATTACATTATATAGGTGATCTATAAATTTAAATCGATAATATAATATTATACAGAACTAGAATATTATAGATTAAACGTCAAATATTTTTTTTGGATGAGATTCTTCTATATAAGATTAATAAAGAATTAATTAGGTTAGATGCTTGGACTAATATTGTGTTGTTTTATATGAATATTAGAGTAATAAATAAAAAAAATTAATAAGATATCTAAAGGAGAAATACTTCGGTCGATCTTCTTCCGATTTTCTCTCCTTCTGCCGGTACGATTCGACATTGAATCTATTTGGGGAAATTATAAATCTCTTCTGGGAGATCTAGCTTCATTTCTTTGAGGATCTTGAGAATTTGAGAAGATATCTACATATTATTCGATGATTTCAAAATCGTTGGAAAGAAGATGTGCACCTAATTTCAAGAATTTAATTTATCTTGCATCGATCTTGGAGAAGATTCTATGAGAGAGATCTAAGAAGAAAATATAGATCCGAGAATCGATAATATATATCGTTCATGGATTAGGACCTATTACTTCAAGAATTGATATTCATATTTCTATATGAAGAAAAGGAAGATATCCGACCTTCATTTTAAAATATATTCATATTAACATGATAAATATGAATATCAATCGAATTTCTTTATTTATTAGAAATCTATTCATGATCTCGTATTAGATTTCATCATCAAAGATGAGAGAGAGAGAGATATATATATATGGATAAATTATAATTCCATTATTAGAGATGAAGATATTATAGATAAATAATGATGATATACCAATATTATAAAGATTATTCAAAATGAATTAGATAATATTGGAAAGAAAGAAATATCTAATCATTTTCTAATCTTTCAAAGATGAATTTGAAGATCATTACTAATATATCTAAAATATATAGACTAAATCCAAGATTCTTATATCTTCAAAATATTCATATGAAGAATTCTATAAAGAAAGAATATATCTTTTTGAAAATGATATATCATGATTTTACGATTCGGAAATATTCATTTTTCATTAATAAATAGATAATCTATAATACTGACTTATCTAATTCATAATATGATGGAATTCAAGAATCGTCAGAAGGAATAAATCTAATAATCATCTAGATCGAAGAATAGAATAGCTCTATGATATGAAGATTCTTATAATAAAAATCTTTTTCAGATTGATTGCAATATATTTGAATGGAGATTTCTTGAGCGACAGAATATCGGGATATATCTTTAGAAATTGACAAGATTAATATCGATTATCTTGAATTCATTGGGACATTCTTATATTCAATATTTGATTCCAATATATATCCTATGAATTTCTTGGATTTCTTGCATATCGAGATATCTAGCAATCTTTCTTTAAATTATTCATTGAATCAAATCTCTATTGAATATTTCTATATATATCTATAATCTTTATTCTCTATCTGAATCATTCATATATCAAACTCATGAATTATCTTCAGAAGATTTATTTCTT